ACTGCGTGCTGCGGGGGGGGCAGCTCGCCTTCTTCAAGGATGCCAAGAGCCGGGCGCTGGGGCTGCCCTGCCACGGCGAGGAGCCCCTGGGGCTGCAGGACGCCTCCTGCCAGGTGGCCGCCGGCTACAAGAAGAAGAAGCACGTCTTCAAGCTCAGGTACAGCCCGGGGGCTGTGGGGTGGGGTGCTAGGGGGTGCTATGGGGTGGTATGGGGTGGTATGGGGTCGTATGGGTGGTATGGGGTGGTATGGGCTGTTATGGGGTGTTATGGGGTGCTATGGGCTGTTATGGGGTGGTATGGGGTCGTATGGGTGGTATGGGGTGTATGGGATGGTATGGGGTGGTATGGGCTGTTATGGGGTGGTATGGGGTGCTATGGGCTGTTATGATGTGTTATGGAGTGCTATGGGGTGGTATGGGGTCGTATGGGTGGTACAGGGTGGTACGGGGTGGTATGGGGTGTATGGGATGGTATGGGGTGGTATGGGTTGCTATGGGACGTTATGGGGTGTTATGGGGTGCTATGGGGTGCTATGGGGTCGTATGGGTGGTATAGGGTGGAATGGGGTGTACGGGGTGGTATGGGGTGTATGGGATGGTACGGGGTGGTATGGGGTGGTATGGGTTACTATGGGATGTTATGGGGTGGTATGGGGTGGTATGGGTTACTATGGGATGTTATGGGGTGGTATGGGGTTTTATGGGGTGGTATGGGTTGCTATGGGATGGTATGGGGTGCTATGGGGTGGTATGGGGTGCTATGGGGTGGTATGGGGTCGTATGGGTGGTATGGGGTGGAATGGGGTGTACGGGGTGGTATGGGGTGTATGGGATGGTACGGGGTGGTATGGGGTGGTATGGGGTGGTATGGGGTGGTATGCATTACTATGGGATGTTATGGGGTGGTATGGGGTGATATGGGTTACTATGGGATGTTATTTGGTGGTATGGGGTTTTATGGGGTGGTATGGGTTGCTATGGGATGTTATGGGGTGGTATGGGGTGGTATGGGGTCCTATGGGGTGCTATGGGGCAGTACGGGGTGGTATGGGATGGTACAGGGTGCTATGGCGTGGTATGGGGTGTTATGGGGCGGTATTGGGTGGTATGGGGTGCTATGGGGTGTTACGGGGTGGTATGAGGTGAAATGGAGTGTTATGGGGTGGTATGGAGTGCCATGGGGTGGTATGGGGTGGTATGGGGTGTTATAGGGTGCTATGGGATGTTATGGGGTGGTATGGGCTGTTATGGGCTGTTACGGAGTGGTACAGGGTGTTAAGGGGTGGTATGGGCTGTTATGGGCTGTTACGGAGTGGTACAGGGTGTTAAGGGGTGCTACGGGCTGTTCTGGGGTGCTATGGGGTGGCACACACTGTGCTCTGTCCCCAGGCTCAGCAATGGCAGCGAGTGGCTCTTCCATGGCAAGGATGAGGTGAGGGGTACCCGGGGCACACGGGGTGCTCGGTGCTGAGCAGGGGCATGCAGAGGGGTCCAGTGGTGCCCAGGGGGATACGGGGGGGTGGTGGTCCCCAGGGGACACTGGTGGTACCCAGGGGCCATGGGGTAACCAGGGATGCCATCAGGATACGGTGTGGGGCTGGTGGTACCCAGGGAACCACAGGGAACCAAGGATGCCATCAGGATGTGGTGTGGGGTTGGTGGTACCCAGGGGGCCATGGGGTAACCAAGGATGCCATCAGGATGTGGTGTGGAGCTGGTGGTACCCAGGGGCCATGGGGTAACCAAGGACGCCATCAGGATTCGGTGTGGGGCTGGTGGTACCCAGGGACGATGGGGTAACCAGGGATGCCATCAGGATTCGGTGTGGGGCTGGTGGTACCCAGGGATGATGGGGTAACCAGGGATGCCATCAGGATGTGGTGTGGGGATGGTGGTACCCAGGGGAACATGGGGTGGCCGGGGGTGCCATAAAGACGTGGAAGGGGCTGGTGATGCTTGGGAGGACACAGGTGGCTGCTGGTACCCAGGTGCCATGGGGTAACCAAAGATGCCATCAGGATACGGTGTGGGGCTGGTGGTACCCAGGGGCCATGGGGAACCAAGGACACCATCAGGATGCGGTGTGGGGCTGGTGGTACCCAGGGAACCACGGGGAACCAAGGATGCCATCAGGATGTGGTGTGGGGCTGGTGGTACCCAGGGAACCGCGGGGAACCAAGGATGCCATCAGGATGTGGTGTGGGGCTGGTGGTACCCAGGGAACCACGGGGAACCAAGGATGCCATCAGGATGTGGTGTGGGGCTGCTGGTACCCAGGGAACCACGGGGAACCAAGGATGCCATCAGGATGTGGTGTGGGGCTGGTGGTACCCAGGGAACCACGGGGAACCAAGGATGCCATCAGGATGTGGTGTGGGGCTGGTGGTACCCAGGGACCATGGGGTAACCAAGGATGCCATCAGGATGTGGCGTGGGGCTGGTGGTACCCAGGGAACCACGGGGAACCAAGGATGCCATCAGGATGTGGCGTGGGGCTGGTGGTACCCAGGGAACCACGGGGAACCAAGGATGCCATCAGGATGTGGCGTGGGGCTGGTGGTACCCATGGGGTGTCTGTGGGAGCTGTGGGGCAGCCGGACCCCCCCTCCTCCCCTTAACGCGGTGCCCGTGCCCCCAGGAGGAGCTGCAGGCCTGGCTGCAGGGGCTGAGCGCGGCCATCGGCGAGTGCCAGGGCTGGCGGGGCAAGGCTCAGAGCCTGCCCCCGGCCACGGCCCCCCCCGCGGGCCCCCTGCCCCGCAGGGACAAGGAGAAACGCTTCAGCTTCTTCCCCAAGAAGAAATGAACCCCCCCCCCCCATCCCCGGGGGGGGAACACGGACCCACACGCGTGTGACGGGGACACGCGTGGGCACGGACGCGCGTGTGATGGGGACACGCGTGGGCACGGACACGCGTGTGATGGGGACACGCATGTGATGGGGACACGCGTGTGACGGGGACACGCGTGGGCACGGACACGCGTGTGATGGGGACACGCATGTGATGGGGACACGCGTGGGCACGGACACGCGTGTGATGGGGACACGCGTGTGATGGGGACACGCGTGGGCACGGACACGCGTGTGATGGGGACACGCGTGTGATGGGGACACGCATGTGATGGGGACACGCGTGTGACGGGGACACGCGTGGGCACGGACACGCGTGTGATGGGGACACGCATGTGATGGGGACACGCGTGGGCACGGACACGCGTGTGATGGGGACACGCGTGTGATGGGGACACGCGTGTGATGGGGACACGCGTGTGATGGGGACACGCGTGTGATGGGGACACGCGCGTTATCCCTGCAGCCGCATCCCTGGGGGCAGCCCAAGTGCTCCTGCAGCCCCGGCGCTCGGTGCACACGCGTGTGTGGGCTCCCCCACCTCCATGCACAGCAGCACACGCGTGTGTGGGCTCCCTCCATGCACAGCAGCACACGCATGTGCGGGCTCCCTCCATGTACAGCAGCACACGCGTGTGCGGGCTCCCCCCTTCCTCCATGCACAGCAGCACACGCGTGTGCGGGCTCCCTCCATGTACAGCAGCACACGCGTGTGTGGGCTCCCCCCCTCCATGTACAGCAGCACACGTGTGTGGGCTCCCTCCATGCACAGCAGCACACGCGTGTGTGGGCTCCCCCCTTCCTCCATGCACAGCAGCACACGCGTGTGCGGGCTCCCCCCATGCACAGCAGCACACGCGTGTGCGGGCTTCCTCCATGTACAGCAGCACACGCGTGTGCGGGCTCCCTCCATGCACAGCAGCACACGCGTGTGCAGGCTCCCTCCATGCACAGCAGCACACGCGTGTGCGGGCTCCCTCCATGCACAGCAGCACACGCGTGTGCGGGCTCCCTCCATGTACAGCAGCACACGCGTGTGCGGGCTCCCTCCATGCACAGCAGCACACGCGTGTGCGGGCTCCCTCCATGCACAGCAGCACACGCGTGTGCGGGCTCCCTCCATGCACAGCAGCACACGCGTGTGCGGGCTCTCTCCATGCACAGCAGCACACACGTGTGCGTGCAACACGCGTCCGCGCACACGCGTGTATACATGCGTTTCCATTTCTCTCCTCCTCGACACGCTTGACGGCAGGCACACGCGTGTGCCCCACACACCCCCCCCATTGCACACGTGTCCCTGCATGCACACACGCGTGTCCCCGCATGCAGGAGCACCCACGGCCATGCCCCCCCCCCCCCCAGCACCCACTTGGGGGGCTCCTATGGGTGCCCCATCAAGCCATACCCCCCCCACACACACACTGCATGGGTGCAGAGGGGGCACCCATGGGCACCAACCAAAGAGCATCGGCATGGGGGGCACCGCTCATCATCACCCCACCTCCCCGTGTCTTCTCCCCCCCCCCCCATTGGGGTATGGGGGACCCCCCCCCTCCCAGCACCCCGAGGGGATGGGGGTGACCAGAGAGGAACTTTTGGTTCAGATTTGGGTTTTTTTGTTGGATTTTTGATAATAAAGATGTGAAAGCGAGCGGGGGTGCAGCGCTGAGGGGGGGATGGGGGACATGGGGTGACCCCACTCCCTGGGGGTCCTGCTTCCCCCAAGCAATCTGGGGGTCCATTGGCTGCCCCTTGTCCTTGCTGGGTTGGGGGTCCATGGGGTGCTTCTTCTCCTGGGTAACCTGGGGGTCCCTTTTTCCAGGTAGGTTGGGGGTCCATGGGGTGCCCCTGCTCCTGGGCAAGTCGGGGATCCATGGGGTACCCCCTTTTCCACATAGGTTGGAGGTCCATGGGGTCCCCCTTCTCCTGGGCAGGTTGGGGGTCCATAGGATGCTGTTTCCCCTAGGTGAGCTCAGGGTCCATGGGGTCCCCCTTCTCCTGGGCAGGCTGGGGGTCCATGGGGTGCCCCTTCTTCCAGGTAGGATGGAGGTCCATAGGGCATCCCTTTTCCTTGCTGAGCTGGGCTCCATGGGGCACCCCTTCTTCCAGGTAGATTGGAGGTACCCCTCCTGGCTGAGCTGCACCTCCATGGGGCGCCCCTTCTGCCACGTACGTTACAGGTCCATGGGGCTCCCCTGAGCACCCATTGCTGGGCACCCCTTCCCTCCGGTCCACGTTTCTCCCCATCTCCCCTTTTCCTCCCCTTAGCTGGCAGCGTCGAGGCTCTGAAACTTCTGCCTTAGGTCCTTGACAAGGCCATGCCTGGGGGGCTGCGGGGCACCGGGGGGCTGTGATGCTCCATGGGGCTGTGATGCTCCATGGGGCTGTGATGCTCCATGGGTCTGAGATACTCCGGAGGGCTGTGAAGCTCCATGGGGCAGTGGTGCTCCAGCAGGCTGTGATGCTCCATGGGGCTGTGATGCTCCATTGGTCTGAGATACTCCGGAGGGCTGTGAAGCTCCATGGGGCAGTGATGCTCCAGCAGGCTGTGATGCTCTATGGGTCTGAGATACTTCGGAGAGCAGTGATGCTCCATGGGGCAGTGATGCTCCATGGGTCTGAGATACTCCGGAGAGCAGTGATGCTCCATGGGGCAGTGATGCTCCATGGGTCTGAGATACTCCGGAGAGCAGTGATGCTCCATGGGGCAGTGATGCTCCGGAGGGCTGTGATGCTCCGGAGGGCTGTGATGCTCCGGAGGGCTGTGATGCTCCATGGGTCTGTTCTGCTCCATGGGGCTGTGCTGCTCCATGGGGCTGTGCCGCTCCCGGGTTCGGAGGCGCTCCGTGGGGCTCTGCGCAGCGCCGCCGGTACTCCTCGGAGCCCTGGTACGCTTTGCACCGCTCCACCACGGCCTTCAGGCAGATCTTCTCCCTGGTGGTGGGGGACCGGATCTGCACGTAGCTGTGGGGCTCGGCGTGGGGAGCCGGCCCCTTCTCCAGCACCAGCACCCGCTGCCCGGCGCCGAGCGCCGCCTCGGCCGCCACCCACAGCGCCCCACGGCTGCCGTGGGTGCTGGGTCCCCCCCCGGCTTCAGCGCTGCGGCTGCGGCCGCCGCCTCCGCGCTCCTTCGCTGCCGGGCGCCCGGCCCGGTCCCGGTCCCGGTCCGGCCCCTCCGGTGCGGAGCGGCTCCGGGTTACGGGCGGCGGCCGAGCGGCACCGAAGCGGGCGCGGAGCTCCCGCACGTCCGGCCAAGGGAAGGGCTCGGAGGAGCCGGCGCCGTCCGGGGACGCGGGCAGCGGGGAGCGGTGGGGCCCGCAGCGGCGGCTCTTGATGCGGAGGCTGTACTGCCGGGCCAGCCGGTACACCCTGGTGCCGGCGTGCCGGGCGGGGGGCACGGCCCCCGGGGCCAAGTCATCGTCCTCCAGGATGAGGAGCGGCTCCGGGGGCTGCATCCCGCTCTCGGGGGGCTGCATCCCGCTCCTGGGGCTCTGGATCCTGTTCTCCAGCGTCTGCATCCCACTCCTGGGGCTCTGCATCCCATTCCCGGGGCTCTGGATCCTGTTCTCCAGCATCTGCATCCCATTCCTAGGGTTCTGCATCCCATTCCTGGGGCTCTGGACCCCATACTCAGGGGTCTGCATCCCGCTCTCGGGGGGCTGCATCCCGCTCCTGGGGCTCTGCATCCCATTCCCGGGGCTCTGCATCCTGTCCTCCAGCGTCTGCATCCCATTCCTAGGGCTCTGCATCCCATTCCCGGGGCTCTGCATCCTGTTCTCCAGCGTCTGCATCCCATTCCTGGGGCTCTGCATCCCATTCTTGGGGCTCTGGACCCCATGCTCAGGGGTCTGCATCCCATTCCTGGGGCTCTGCATCCTGTCCTCCAGCGTCTGCATCCCACTCCCAGGGGGCTGCATCACATTCCTGGGGCTCTGGGTCCCATTCTTGGGGCTCTGGACCCCATGCTCAGGGGTCTGCATCCCACTCTCAGGGGGCTGCATCCCATTCCTGGGGCTCTGGACCCCATGCTCAGGGCTCTGGATGCTGTTTTCATGGCTCTGGATCCTGTTCTCAGGGGTCTGCATCCCACTCTCAGGGGTCTGCATCCCATTCCTGGGGCTCTGGACCCCATGCTCAGGGCTCTGGATCCTGTTTTCATGGCTCTGGATCCTGTTCTCAGGGGTCTGGATCCCATTCCTGGGGGTCTGGATCCTGTTCTCCAGCATCTGCATCCCATTTTTGGGGGTCTGGACCCCACGCTCAGGGCTCTGGATGCTGTTTTCATAGATCTGGATCCTGTTCTCCAGCGTCTGCATCCCGTTCTTGGGGGTCTGGATCTCATTCCTGGGGCTCCGGACCCCACACTCAGGGCTCTGCCTCCCAGTCCTGGGGCTCTGGACCCCATTCTCGTGGCACAGCTCCCCCGGGCCCACCACGGGCCACAGCGGCCCCGGATGCTTGTGGGGCTCCGGGCTGCCGGGGGGCAGCGGGAGGCTGTTGAAGCGGGACACGGAGCTCCTCACCAGCCCCTTGGGGATGAAGGACAGGCTCTCCCTGCGCCGGACGCTGAAGCCGCCGTCGCGGTGCTCGGCGCTGCCGTAGTAAGCGCGGATCTTATCCAGGAGCAAACGGTCCCGGTTGGAGAGCAGCGAGGCCCGGCGGGCTCCGGGCAAGGGCTCTGGGGAAGGCACGGCCCTAGGGGAGCCCCCCCCGGGCTCCCCGCTTTCAATGGGGGGGGGTCCGCATCCATCCGGGCTGAGGCCGCTGCCGCCGGGGCTGCCCGGCCGTGCCAACGGCCCCTCCATGGCCACGCTGCTCCGCCGGGACAGGCTCCCGCCGCCTCCGAAGCGCTCGGCGATGATGCTGGCCTGGTCCAGCACCGAGGGCGGCAGGATGCTGCCCGGGCCCCCATCCTCATCCTCCTCTTCCTCCTCCTCCTCCTCTTCCTCGCTGCTCAGCACCTGCAAATCCTCTGCACCCCGCGGCGGCGCCGGGGTCCCCATCGAGGATGGGGCTTTGGGTGCCCCCGACACCTCGGCTTGGGGGGGCTCCCCGGCGCTGCCGGCCTGCCGAGGGGGCACGGGGTGGGTGCTGGGCCCATCGGGACCCCCGGCACGGGGCTGTGGGGCTGCACCCACCTTCTCGCGGCTCCCCGGGCCCCAGCTGCTGGGGCGCTTGGGTGGCTCCGGTACCGGTGGGTGCTCCCCGGCCTGGGGACAACAAATTGGGGGGGGGATCAGTCACAGCCAAACCATGGCTGAGGACCCCAGAGTGCGCTTGGGGTGCCTCAAGAGCGATGCTGGGTACCCCAGAAGTGATACAGGATGCTCCGCAGAGCAACGGGGGATGCTCCAGGAATGATGTGGGTGCCGTGGGAGTGATGCTGGGTGCCCTGGGAACAATATGGGTTGTCCTAGGACCGATGCTGGGTGCCCCAGGACTGATGCTGGATGCCCAGGAGTGATGCTGAGTGATACAGGGCTGATGTTGGGTGCCCTAGGAACAATATGGGGTGCCCCAGGAGTGATGCTGAGTGCTACAGGGCTGATGCTGGGTGCCCTAGGAACAATATGGGGTGTCCCAGGGGTGTTGTGGGGTGCTCTGGGAACAATATGAGGTGCCCCAGGACTGATGTGGGGTGCCCCAGGAGTGATGTGGGGTGCCCACGAGTGATGCTGGGTGCCCTGGGAACAATATGGGTTGTCCTAGGACTGATGCTGGGTGCCCCAGGACTGATGTGGGGTGCCCAGGAGTGATGGTGAGTGCTACAGGGCTGATGCTGGGTGCCCTAGGAACAATATGGGGTGCCCCAGGAGTGATGTGGGGTGCCCTGGAGTGATGCTGGGTGCTACAGTGCTGATGCTGGGTGCCCTAGGGACACCATGGGGTGCCCCAGGAGTGACATGGGGTGCTCTGGGAGTGATATGGGTGCCCTGTGGTACCGCTCCCAGGGGGTGCCCCCCCCCCCCCTTGGGTTTTGGGGTACCTGCTCCTCCTGGGGCTCCCCCAGCAGCTCCTGGGCCCCAGGCAGCTCCTCGGGACCGTCCCTGCCCACGTCCTCCTCTTCCTCCTGCTCCTCTTCCTCCTCCACCAGCCCCTCAGGCGCTGCCCAGGCTCGGGGGTGCTGGGGGGGCTCCCCCATTGCCAGCAGAGCCCCATCGCTGCCCGCGTGCTACCGGGGTTGGGGGGGGAGCACCGGGCTCAGCACCACAGCCCCGGTGCGCCAAGGCCGGGGGGCACCGCGCACCCCAAGCACCCCCCCACGGCAGCCTTACCTTGAGGCCTGCAAGAGAGAGCAAAGGGGAAGTTGGGGGGGGTGGTTGGGGGGCAGGACCCAAAGAGCACCCCCTGCCCCACTGCCTGCACCCAGGGGTGCCGGCGCCCGGGCTGCTCACCTTGCGCACCCAGGTGCTGCAGGATCTGCTTGGCCGGCTCTGTGGGGAGAGGGGGGGCATGCAAAGGGGGCCCCATGTCCCCCAGCAGCAGTCCCCCCCCCCAGTCCCATCGGCATTCCAGCCCTGACCTCACTGGAACCCTACCCCATCCCAAATCCCACTGGCACTCCATCCCAAACCCCATTGGAACCCTACCCAATCCCAAATCCCATTGGATCTCAGCCATCCCAAATCCCATTGGCATTCCATCCCCAACCCCACTGGATCCCAGCCCATCCCAAACACCATTGGCATCTCAAACACAACCCAAATCACACTGGCATCGCCTCCCAAACCCCATTGGCTCCCTACCCCATCCCAAACCCCATTAGCACCCCACTCCATCCCCAACCCATTGGCATCCCATCCCAAACCCCATTAGCACCCCAGTCCATCCCCGACCCCATCCCAAACCCCATTAGCACCCCACTCCAATCCCAACCCCATTGGCATCCCATCCCAAACCCCATTAGCATCCCACTCCATCCCCAACCCCATTAGCACCCTACCCCACCCCAAACCCCATTAGCACCCCACTCCATCCCCAACCCCATTGGCATCCCATCCCACCCCAAACCCCATTAGCACCCCACTCCATCCCCAATCCTATTGGCACCCTACCCCATCCCAAACCCCATTAGCACCCCACTCCATCCCCAACCCCATTGGCACCCTACCCCATCCCAAACCCCATTACCATCCCACTCCATCCTGAATCCCATTGGCACCCTACCCTACCCCAAACCCCATTAGCACCTCACTCCATCTCCAATCCCATTGGCATCCCATCCCACCCCAAACCCCATTAGCACCCCACTCCATCCCCAAGCCCATTGGCATTCCATCCCACCCCAAACCCCATTAGCACCCCACTCCATCCCCAAGCCCATTGGCATTCCATCCCACCCCAAACCCCATTAGCACCCCACTCCATCCCCAACCCCATTGGCATCCCATCCCACCCCAAACCCCGCCGCCGCCCCAACCGCCCCGCTCCCAGCCGCCTCCGCACCCGACTGCCTGCGCCCCATGTGCCCCCGCGCGTGCTCCGGTGGCCCCTCGCCGTGCTCCCGCCGCTGGAAGGGCTCTGTGGGGAGCGGGACACCCCCATCGGCGCTGGCACCCCGCGGGTGGCGCCGGGAGCCGCGGCTCAGGGACGGGGACGATGGGGCTGTGGGGCTCACCCGACTGGCGCCGGCCCCGGCGCGGCTCGGCCACCGGCTCCTCCAGGGGCTGGCAGGACCAGCTCTTCTTGAGGCGCTCGGGGCTGCAGCGGGGCAGGCGAGGGGGGTCTGTGGGGACAGGGGGTGACAAAGGGGGGGGGACAGAGGAGGGCAGGGAGGGGAGCGCGGGGAGTGGGTGGCACTCACAGAACAGATCCATCTCCAGGATGGCTTCTTTAGCCTGGGGAGGAGGGAGACGGGGAGAGATGCATGGGGTGAGGATGGAGAGAGATGGGGAGAGATGGGGAGAGATGGATGGGGTGAGGATGGAGAGAGATGGGGAGAGATGGATGGGGTGAGGATGGAGAGAGGGGGTGAGGTGGGGTGAGGATGGAGAGAGATGGGGAGAGATGGGGAGAGATGGATGGGGTGAGGGGGTGAGGATGGAGAGAGATGGGGAGAGATGGGGAGAGATGGATGGGGTGAGGATGGAGAGAGATGGGGAGAGATGGGGAGAGATGGATGGGGTGAGGATGGAGAGAGATGGGGAGAGATGGGGAGAGATGGATGGGGTGAGGATGGAGAGAGATGGGGAGAGATGGATGGGGTGAGGATGGAGAGAGATGGGGAGAGATGGATGGGGTGAGGATGGAGAGAGGGGGTGAGGTGGGGTGAGGATGGAGAGAGATGGGGAGAGATGCATGGGGTGAGGATGGAGAGAGGGGGTGAGGTGGGGTGAGGGGGTGAGGATGGAGAGAGATGGGGAGAGATGCATGGGGTGAGGATGGAGAGAGGGGGTGAAGATGGGGTGAGGACGGGGTGAGGATGGGGAGAAGATGCGGTGAGGGTGGGGTGAAGACGGGGTGAAGATGGGGTGAAGATGTGGTGAGGATGGGGTGAAGATGGGGAGAAGATGTGGTGAGGATGGGGTGAAGATTGGGTGAGGACGGGGTGAGGATGGGGAGAAGATGCGGTGAGGATGGGGAGAAGATGCGGTGAGGATGGGGTGAAGATGGGGTGAAGATGGGGTGAAGATGTGGTGAGGATGGGGTGAAGATGGGGTGAAGACGGGGTGAAGATGGGGTGAAGATGTGGTGAGGATGGGGTGAGGATGGGGTGAGGATGGGGAGAAGATGGGGTGAAGATGTGGTGAGGATGGGGTGAAGGTGGGGAGAAGACGGGGTGAAGATGGGGTGAAGATGCGGTGAGGATGGGGTGAAGATGCGGTGAAGATGCGGTGAGGATGGGGTGAAGATGGGGTGAAGATGGGGTGAAGATGGGGTGAAGATGGGGTGCGGATGGGGTGAAGATGGGGTGAGGATGGGGTGAAGATGGGGAGAAGATGGGGTGAAGATGCGGTGAAGATGCGGTGAGGATGGGGTGAAGATGGGGTGAAGATGGGGTGAAGATGGGGTGCGGATGGGGTGAACCCACCCCACTGCCCCGTGGGCACCCCAGCCTGGGGAGCGTCCCCTTCCCCTCACCTTCTGCGGGATGATGGCGTGGTGGTTCTCCAGGATGAGCCGCTTGATGTGATGGGTCCACAGCCGCTTCTCCTCCACGCTCTTGGCCTGGGGAGGACGAGGAGGACGGGGGGGGGGGCACAGAGGGTGGGCATGGGGGTCCCCAGGGGGTCCCTGCCCCACGGCCGGCGCGCACCCACCTGCAGGCAGTGCTGCTGCTTGATGTGCTTGTAGTGCGCCAGGCTGAAGCAGAGCGAGTCCCGGGTGCTCTCGATCAGCATCAGCGAGGAGCACTGCGGGGGAGGCCCTCAGACACCCAGCTCAGCACCCACCACGCACCCCCATCCCCGTGCCCTCTGGGCTCTGCCATCCCCAGCACCCATCCTGGGCTCCGCCATCCCCAGCACCCATCCTGGTCCCCACCACCCGATTAGACCCCAGCACCCCCAGAGTTCCCTAACTCCCCCTGGGACCCCAGCCCCAGCACCCGTCCTGGTTCCTCAGCACACCTTGGGGTCTCCATTGCCAGCACCCCCTAGGTTCTCCACCCCCAGCACCCACCAGTCACCCCCATCCCAGCATCCATCCAATCCCCCATCCCCATTGCCCCCTAGGTTCGCCATCCCCAGCACCCATCAGGCCCCCCCATCCCAGCACCCATCCTGGTTACCCAGCACACCTTGGGGTTCCCATTGCCAGCACCCACCAGTCACCCCCATCCCAGCACCCATCCAAATCCCCCATCCCCATCACCCCCTAGGTTCTTCATCCCCAGCACCCATCAGTCCCCCCCATCCCTGCACCCACCAGTCCCCCCCATCCCAGCACCCATCCCAATCCCCCATCCCCATCGCCCCCTAGGTTCTTCATCCCTAGCACCCACCAGCCCCCCATCCAAGCACCCACCAGTCCCCCCCATCCCCAGCACCCACCAGTCCCCCCCATCCCAGCCCCCATCCCAATCCCCCATCCCCATCCCCCCCTACCTTCTCCATCCCCAGCACCCACCAGTCCCCCCCCCATCCCAGCCCCCCTCCCGGTCCCCCCCCCCCCCCGTTATCCCCACACCACTGCCCCACGGATCCCCCCCCGTGCCCCCTCCGGCGCTCACCGGGATGTGGCTCTTGTAGCCGTAGTGGTCACCGCGGCGCTTGGTGATGAGCAGGGTCTTGTCGAAGAGGAACACGGCGCGCTCGTGGCGCGCGCGCTGCACCCGGAACGTGCCCTCCAGCACCAGCTCCCCATAACTGGTCAGGTCCGGCCCCTTCCAGCCCAGCAGCAGGGACTGGATCTCCTGCGGGGGGGGGGGTCCCATTGGCATCACCGGCGCCGCGGGGCCGCGCGCCCCGGTGCCGCCGGTCCCCACCTGCTGCCGGATGGCGTGCTCGTGCTTGCGCTTCATGTCGTTGATGTACCAGGCCACGCAGGTCATGGTGTCGATGGCCTCCAGCACCACGTCGTAGTCGTCGCCGGATTTGTGCTCGAAGTGCTTGGCGATCTCCTGCCGGCACAGCACGCGGCGTTGGAGGCGTCGGGGGGCACCGCAGCAGCTGGCTCAGCCGTGCCGGGAGCCCATGCTCCTGCCACGGCCCTGTGCCATGCCAGGGCTATGGAGCGCGCTGGGTGCCCGGGGGGTGGCTGTGTCGTGCTGGGTGCTTGGGCCGTGCCGTGCATCCATGGCATGCCATGCACCCACAGCACGCCAGCTCTCCATACCATGCACCCATGCCATGCCATGCACCCACACCATGCCAGCTCTCCATACCATGCACCCATGCCATGCCATGCACCCACACCACACAAGGCACCCATGCCATGCACCCATGCCATGCCATGCACCCACACCACGCCAGCTCTTCATGCCATGCACCCATGCCGTGCCACGCACCCACACCATGCAAGGCACCCATGCCATGCCATGCACCCACACCACGCCAGCTCTCCATACCATGCACCCATGCCATGCCATGCACCCACACCACGCCAGCTCTCCATACCATGCACCCATGCCGTGCCATGCACCCACACCACGCCAGCTCTCCATACCATGCACCCATGCCATGCCATGCACCCACACCACACAAGGCACCCGTGCCATGCACCCATGCCATGCCATGCACCCACACCACACCAGCTCTCCATAACATGCACCTATACCACGCCAGCTCTCCATGCCATGCGCCCATGCCATGCCATGCACCCACACCACGCCAGCTCTTCATGCCATGCACCCATGCCATGCCATGCACCCACACCATGCCAGCTCTCCATGCCATGCACCCATGCCATGCCATGCACCCATGCCACACTGTTGCCCGTGCCACGCTGTGTGCCCATGCCATGTCCCCATGCCACGCTCCCCTGCCATGCTGTGTGCCCGTGCCATGTCCCCATGCCATGCACCCATGCCATGTCCCCGTGCCACACTGCTGCCCATGCAATGCCATGTCTCCATGTCATATCCCCATACCATATCCCTACGCGACACTGGTGCCCATGCAATGCCATGTCCCCATGCCATGTCCCCATGCAATGCCATGTCCCCATGCCATGCCATGCCCCCATGCCATGTCCCCATGCCACACTGCTGCCCATACCATGCCATGCCCCCCTGCCATGCTGTGTGCCTGTGCCATGTCCCCATGCCATGTCCCCATACCACACTGCTGCCCATGCCATGCTATGTCCCCATGCCATGTCCCTGTGCCACACTGGTGCCCATGCCATTCCATATCCCCATACCATATCCCCATGCAAAACTGGTGCCCATGCAATGCCATGTCCCCATGCAATGCCATGTCCCCATGCAATGCCATGTCCCCATGCCATATCCCTATGTGACACTGGTGCCCATGCAATGCCATGTCCCCATGCCATGCCCCCCTGCCATGCTGTGTTCCTGTGCCATGTCCCCATGCCATGTCCCCATGCCTTGTCCCCATGCAATGCCATGTCCCCATGCCACACTGCTGCCCATGCCATGCCATGTCCCCATGCCATGTCCCTGTGCCACACTGGTGCCCATGCCATTCCATATCCCCATACCATATCCCCATGCAAAACTGGTGCCCATGCAATGCCATGTCCCCATGCAATGCCATGTCCCCATGACATGTCCCCATGCCATGCTGTGTGCCCGTGCCATGTCCCCATGCAATGCCGTGTCCCCATGCAATGCCATGTCCCCATGCAATGCCGTGTCCCCATGCCATGTCCCCATGCAATGCCATGTCCCCATGCAATGCCGTGTCCCCATGCCATGTCCCCATGCAACGCCGTGTCCCCATGCCAAGCCGTGTCCCCATGCAACGCTGTGTCCCCATGCAATGCTGTGTCCCCATGCCATGTCCCCATGCAACGCTGTGTCCCCATGCAATGCTGTGTCCCCATGCCATGTCCCCATGCAATGCCGTGTCCCCATGCAGTGCTGTGCCCCCCTGCCATGCTGTGTGCCCGTGCCGTGCCCCCGTGCCGCAGCGGTGCCGCCTCACCTGGAGCAGGAGGTGGTACTTGAGGATCCTCTGGACGGGCTTGAGCAGGAAGGCGCCGAGGGGCAGCGCGTGGCGCAGCCGCTCCTGGCACTCGCGCAGCAACCGCGCCTGCGCCTTGCTCCGCATGCACTCTGCCAGCGCCGCCACCGAGCTGCGGGCGAGGAAGCGGGCTCAGCCCCTGCCCGGCCCCTGCCCGCCCCAGCCCCGCACTCACCTGGGGTAGTTATTGCAGTACTGGGTGTAGATGGAGAACTCCTGGCTCTGCGGGCAACGGCAGCGCCGTGAGAGCTCACCGCGGCCCCCGGTGCCCCCCAAACCCTTCACGGTGCTCGGCACCGCGCATCCCAACAAACGCCCCTCCAAAACCTTACCCGGGTGACGAAGCAAACGGCCACGGCCACCGGGTCGCTGGCGCAGCTCTCCAGGTCCTGCAGCAGGGCGCTGGGGGCACAGCGGGCACGGGATGGGGTGGGATGAGGGGAGCTCGAAGCTCCTCTGGTGCCAACCCCGACCCCTTCCACTGGAGCAGCTTGCTCCAAGCCCCTGTGTCTAACCTGCCCTTGAGCCCTGCCAGGGATGGGGCAGCCACAGCTTCTCTGGGCACCCTCACGGTGATGAATTCCTGCCTTACATCCAACCGGGATCCCCCCTGCTCCAGTCTGAACCCATCACCCCTTGTCCCATCGCTCCCGTCCCTGATGCAGAGCCCAGCATCCCCATAGCCCCCTCCAGACACTGGCGGCTGCTCTGAGCTCCCCACGCACCTCCTCATCCCCAATGTTCTCAGCCTCGCTAACAGCAGACCCCCCCCTCCTGTCCCATCCACACCATGGGGTGGCCCCATGTGTGTGCCCCCGTTCCCCCCCCGCCCCACAACCAGCACCCACCTGCTGAGCTCGTAGATGTCCTCGATGTTCCCAAAGAGCGCGCTGACCTGCTCCGGCCGCAGCACCGCCTCCTCGGCGTCGATGATCTTCCCCAGGTAACCCTAATGGACAGCACAGCGGCACCACCGGTGCTACCCCCCCCCCCCCCAACCCATAGCCCCATCCATGGGGTGCCCCCCACACACCAGCACCCACCTCCACGATGCTGCGCAGGTCGCGGGCATAGGTCCGCTCCGACTCCACGATCTCCAGCACCACGCGGCCCAGGTAACTGGGCTCAGCACCAGGGCCACCAAACGGTGCCAGTCCCGGCCACGCCGCCGGCGCAGCGTTGTTGTTGCTGTTGGGCTCCCCCTCGGCCCACGGCTCGGCCCCGCTCCCGCTTGGATGCTCCATGGCGCAGCCGGGATGCGGCACCGCGCTCAGGGCAGGGCAGGCGGGCACCGGCATTCCGGCATCCCCCGGCACCGGTGGGGGTCTGGGGGGGCAGAGCGGAGTGGTTATGGGGTGCGGAGACACCCCGGGCTCCGGGCAGTGCTTCAGGTGAAGGGGGGGGGTCACTGCACCATAAAGAGCCCTTGGGTTGACCTGATGGCTGAGCCCTCCAGGCTGGGCACCAGCACCCCCAAACCCCCAAATTCCTCAGTTATGGATCAAGCAAGGCAGGATAGAACCCACCCGTGGCCGGGCCAAGGCCTCCCACCCACCGTAGCACTGAGATTTGGGGGTGTCATCCCCCCCCCCAACCTTACCCCAGTGCCAGATCATGCATCCCAGGACGTGGGGACCGTGCTCCCTAAGGACACAGCACCACAGTGGGCCCAATGCCACGGCCACACCAAGCCCGCACCCACAGGACACCTTCCCGGTGAGCTCAGCACCGGCTCGCCCTTCCGGACCACCGCGTGCCACCGGGATCCTCCTGCGGCACCGCAACCGCTCGGTGCCACCGGGGCCGCGGCACCCAAACCCCGGCCATTGCCTGCAACGGGCTTGGTGGCCAAGGGGACAGTGTGTGACCAGCGCGGGTGGCCTTGGGGACGGTGACCTTCAGCCGGGCCACGTGCCGGTGCCGGGGCGGACCGAGCCCCCCGGCACTGGGGGTGCCAGCACCGAACCGGTCAGGCCGGTTCCCGCCAGCGCCTCCCCATCGCGCCGCATGGCCGCGAGCCCGCCGCCGCCCTCCCCATGGCTTCCCTGTGCGAGCCCCCAAAACGCCACCGCGGTGACCCCCAAGTGGGGCCCAGCACTAAAACCCCACCGCGGTGACCCCCAAGTGGGGCCCAGCACCAAAACGCCACCGCGGTGACCCCCAAGTGGGGCCCAGCACTAAAACCCCATTGCAATGACCCCCAAGTGGAGCCCAGCACTAAAACCCCACCGCGGTGACCCCCAAGTGGGGCCCAGCACTAAAACCCCACCGCGGTGACCCCCAAGTGGGGCCCAGCACCAAAACCCCACCGCGGTGACCCCCAAGTGGGGCCCAGCACCAAAACGCCACCGCGGTGACCCCCAAGTGGGGCCCAGCACCAAAACATCACCGTGGTGACCCCCAAGTGGGGCCCAGCACCAAAACATCACCGTGGTGACCCCCAAGTGGAGCCCAGCACTAAAACCCCACCGCGGTGACCCCCAAGTGGGGCCCAGCACTAAAACCCCACTGCGGTGACCCCCAGGTGGGGCCCAGCACCAAAACGCCACCGCGGTGACCCCCAAGTGGGGCCCAGCACCAAAACCCCACCACAGTGATCCCCAAGGGGGGCCCAGCACTGTAACAACCCCTTGTGCCGCAGCTGGGGCTCCCCAAATGCTGGTTCTGCCATGGGGCACCCCCTCAGCACCACGGGGCTGTGGGATTCGGGGAGCAGCACCCCTCAAACCCCAAATCCTTCTGCTTTGCCCCATGGCCGCCTTGAGCAGGGGGACCAAGCCCCACAGGCACTGGGGGCACCGGACCTGCAGCATCACCCCATAGAGGGACCCCCATCACCACCTACGCTGGGGGACAGGAAGGGCACGGGGGGCCGTACCCGCTATGGGGGGGACACACTGATGCTCCCCCCACGTGATGGGATTTGCAGCCACCGCATCCCGCCCCCGACGGCCACCCCCGGCTGCCCTAATCCGCTCGGGATTACAGCACCGGCCCCACGTCACCAGCACCGCGGCCGCTCCAGTGGGGATTAGCCCTGACCTTCAACCCCCAGCCCCATCGCAGGGCACAAGGACCCCCCCTTCCCCTTCCCCTTGGGGTGCCGAGCTGGATGCGGCCCCTGGGTGCCGCCCCAACGGGGTGCTCCCGGTCAGCTCCCCAAAGCGGGGAAACCGAGGCAGGCGCCGGGGCCGTTCGGGCCGTGGGGAACGGGGATCATCCCCGCCGGGCGCATTCCAACGGGGAACGTGGGGCACAAGGCACGGCCCCCCCCCTGCCCCGGGCCGAGGCCAGCCCTGGCAGAGCCATATAAGGGCAGGCGGTGCCCCGTTTCCAGGCGTTTTCCAAGGATCCCAGCGTTCCCTGGGAACGGGCAGGGTCCCTGCGGGCTCCGGCGCAGCTGCCGCGGCTCGGCGCGCCCGGCCCCGGCTGGCACCGAGGGCACCGGCTGCTGCTGGCACCGCTGCCCGGAGCGCCCACGGGGCCCCGACGTGGCCAACGGGCACCCAGCGCCATAGGAGGATGGGGGTCCCGCATCGCAGCCCTCCGGGGCACCCCCTCCGAAGGGCCTGGGGTGTCCCGTGTGTTCCCGTCCGTCCCCCCCCCCCAGCCCCATGGGTGCGTGGTCGTAGGGTCCCAGGAGCCGCTGTCCGCCGGGACCCACAGCTCTGCCCCACGGCTCACCAGGAGCCTCCACCCCGTCCAGGACCCAACGCTCCTGCCCCGCTGCGATCCAAGGCCTTGGGCATCCCGGAACCCACAGCTCCCGTCGCGTGGGGACCCACAGCTTCTGCCCCACTGAGGCACACAGCAGCGGCCCCAGCGGCGCACACAGCACCGGGCCCCACGGCTCCTTCCCGCACGGACCCACGGCAATACAACAGCTCCTTCCCGCCACAACGGGACCCACGGATCCGGTTCCACCGGGGTGCGATGGATCCCACCCCACCGGCACCCCCGGCACCGATGGGTCCCGCTCCACCGGGACCGGCACCGGGACCCCCGGCACCGATGGGTTCCGCTCCACCGGCACCGGGACCGACACCGACGCCTCCCTCCCCAGCGGGACCCTGTGTCCCGGAGCCGGACTCACCGCGCTCCGCCGCCGCCGCCCCGGCCCGTCCGTGCCCGCAGGAAGCGGCGGGAGAGCCCCGGGGGCGGGGACTGCGGCCGCCCCGCCCGGGCTGCCCCGGGAACGGGGAGCGACCGGTACGGGCCCGCTATGGGGCCAGAACAGCCCCAGTACAGCTCCGGTACAGCCCCGGTACAGGGCCCGTGCGGTACCGGGTGCCGTCGAGGCATTGGTCCTGGTAGGGTCCCACTACGGTACCACTATGGTGCTGGGCATGGTCCCACTACGGTACCAGTGTGATGCTGGGCACGGTCCCACTATGGTACCAGTACGGTGCTGGGCATGGTCCCAGTATGGTCCCAGTATGGTGCTGGGCATGGTCCCGGTATGGTCCCAGTACGGTGCTGGGCATGGTCCCAGTATGGTCCCAGTATGGTGCTGGGCATGGTCCCAGTATGGTCCCAGTATGGTGCTGGGCATGGTCCCGGTATGGTCCCAGTACGGTGCTGGACACGGTCCCAGTATGGTCCTAGTACGGTGCCAGGCACAGTCCCACTATGGTACCAGTGTGATGCTGGGGACGGTCCCAGTATGGTCCCAGTATGGTGCTGGGCATGGTCCCGGTATGGTCCCAGTACGGTGCTGGGCATGGTCCCGGTATGGTCCCAGTACGGTGCTGGGCACGGTCCCAGTATGGTCCCAGTATGGTGCCGGGCACGGTCCCAGTATGGTCCCAGTACGGTGCTGGGCATGGTCCCGGTATGGTCCCAGTATGGTGTTGGGCATGGTCCAGGCACTGTCCTGATATCAACCCAGTACGGAGCTGGTTCTGTCCCAGTGTGGTGCTGGGATGATCCCGATAGGTTCCCAGTCCCCTCCCAGTGTTCCCAATGTGGTGCTGGGCACATTCCCGGTGCGGTCCCGGCACAGTCCCGGGGTGCCCTGAGTGCGATGCGTGGGGACCCACCGGGGCACCCCGTGGGGTTCTACCAGTGCCAGCAGCCATGGGGCAGACGTGGGGCACCGCAAGTGAGCCCCACACCCCCAGCACCCTCTGTCCCATGTCTGATCCCAGCTCCATCCCCGTGTCCCCATCACGACACGGGAGCCCCAAAACCTGGGTACCACCTCGTCCCCATGGGCCCCACAGCGGCCCCTTCCCAGGCACCCCGAATTCCCCCCTTTCCCAGACACCCTATTCCCTCTCCCCACATCCCTCCTCCCGTACCCATTCGCCCCATATCCTTCCCCAACCCACACCATCCCCTCTCCATAGACCCCTCCCCATATCCCGCTAAATCCCCTTTCCACAGACCCCCCCCAACCTCCCTCCCCTTTCCCTCTCCCCACATCCCCATTCCCCCTCCCACACCCCCCATATCCCCCCATATCCCCCCCAAATTCCCCTTTCCCTTTCCCATACCCCCTCCAATCCCACCTCCTCCATCCCGCCCGCCCGCTAGGGGGCGCCCCCACACTGCCCCCCCCCTCCCTCCCTTCCCGTGAGGCCCCGCGCGGGCCAGGCGGGAAGGCGGCGGGCAAGATGGCGGCGGCGCTGCCGGAGCGGAGCTGCCTGGAGCTGAGCGCGGCCGCTCGGGGCCCAGCGCGGCGCCTCCCGGAGCTCGGCTTCACCCCGCCGGGCACGGCCCCGCTCCCCGCCGGCCGCTACGGGGACAGCGCGGGCGGCTTCTGCTACCGGGACAGCGCCCAGCTGGCGGCCGGCACCAGGAACCGCTTCGTGAGGTGGTGAGTGAGGAACGGAGCGGCCTGGAGCTGCGGGGATGGGGCGCGGGCAGCCAGCGCCTCTGCACCTCACAGGGGAGAGCTCCTGCCTCAGAGCTCAGCTCAGTCTCCCCTCGGGCAGGTTCAAGCCATTCCCCTTGGCCTGTCCCTACATCCCTTGTCCCAAGCCCCTCTCCACGTTCCCTGCAGCCCCTTCAGGCACTGGAGCTGCTCTCAGGTCTCCCCTTCAGGAGCCTTCTCTTGTCCAGGCTGCCCCAGCCCAGCTCTCTCAGCCTGGCTCCAGAGCAGAGCTGCTCCAGCCCTCGCAGCATCCCCATGGCCTTGCTCCAGCAGCTCTACGTCCCTCTTGTGCTGCTGCCCCAGAGCTGGTCCTCATCCCCAACCTGAGCTCCCCCTGTTCCAGTCTGAACCCATCACCCCTTGTCCTGTCACTCCAGTCCCTATGAAGAGTCCCTCCCCAGCATCCTTGTAGCCCCCTTCAGGCACTGAAGCTGCTCTGAGCTCTCCACACAGCCCCAGGTTTCTCAGCCTGGCTCCATACAAGAGCATCCTCATGGCCTCTTCTGGCCTTGCTGCAGCAGCTCCACATCCCTCCTGTGTTGCTGCCCCAGAGCTGGTCCTCATCCCCAACCTGAGCTCCCCCTGTTCCAGTCTGAACCCATCACCCCATGTCCCATCAGTGCAGTCCCTGATGCAGAGCCCTCCCCAGCATCCCTGTAGCCCCCTTCAGACACTGGAGCTCCTCTGAGCTCTCCGCGCAGCCCCAGTGCCCCCAGCCTGGCTCCATCCAGGAGCTGCTCCAGCCCCTGAGCCTCCTCCGGATCCGCTCCCCAGTGCCGAGGCCCCGAGGGTTCTGTTCCCTGCGGAGGCAGCTCCAGGCCTCACCTCGGATGAGCTCGGTCCAGAGCAGGGTCTGTGCCGCGGGGTCTGTGCCGGCTCCTGGATGGTGCCGTCCTCTGTGGGGAGAAGGGAGCTGTGCCCAGCGCTGCAGTGGGGCAGGGCCGGGGCAGCTGATGGATGTCCCTCTGGTGACCCAGTGTCCGAGCAGGGTCTCCCAGGGCAGAGGGGCAGGATCCCCTCCTGCTCCCCCCCTCTTGCCCCCTAGGGAACTCTCCCCCTTTCCCTCCCCGTGTCCCCTCAGGACCACGTCCGGAGACGCCGTGGAGCTGGTGGAGGAGTCCCTGGACGTGAACCTGCTCCACAACGCCGTGCGGCTCCGCATCCACGGCTGCCCCCTGCTCCCCGGGGGGGTGCACGCCTGCGAGACGCAGAGCCACCTGGTGCTGCTGCTGCTCACCGCGCAGAGCGTGCACCGCCTGCTGCTGCCGCACCCCTGCCGCCTGCAGCGCAGCGTGAGTGACCCCTTCCTGCCCCCTTCCTGCCCCCCTTCCTGCCCCCCTTCCTGCCCCCCTTCCTGCCCCCCTTCCTGCCCCCCTCCTGCCCCCTTCCTGCCCCCTTTCCTGCCCCCCTCCTGCCTCCCTTCCTGCCCCCCTTCCTGCCCCCCTTCCTGCCCCCTTTCCTGCCCCCCTTCCTGCCCCCCTTCCTGCCCCCCTTCCTGCCCCCATCCTGCCCCCTTCCTGCCCCCCTTCCTGCCCCCCTTCCTGCCCCCCTCCTGCCCTCTTCCTGCCCCCCTCCTGCCCCTTTCCTGCCCCCCTTCCTGCCCCCCTTCCTGCCCCTTCCTGCCCCCTTCCTGCCCCGTTCCTCCCCCTTCCTGCCCCCTTCCTGCCCGCTCCTGCCCCCTTCCTGCCCCCTTCCTGCCCCCTTCCTCCCCGTTCCTGCCCCGTTCCTGCCCCGTTCCTGCCCCTTTCCTGCCCCCCTTCCTGCCCCTTTCCTGCCCCCCCCTGCCCCCCTCCTGCCCCCCTTCCTTCCCCCCCCTTCCTTCCCCCCTTCCTTCCCCCCTTCCTTCCCCCCTTCCTTCCCCCCTTCCTTCCCCCCTTCCTTCCCCTCTTCCTTTCCCCCTTCCTTCCCCACTTCCTGTCCCCTTCCTGTCCCCTTCCTGTCCCACTTCCTGCCCCCCCTCCTGCCCCCCTTTCTGCTCATCAGGAGCTCTCAGTGAAGCCTCTGAGTGTGTTGCAAAAGATCAACAGCCTCAGTGTGCTTCTCAGCATGGGCATCAAATGCTGCTTCCTGCTGGGATAGGGTCCAGACCCCCAAAGCCCCCTTCCCCATCCCCGTACCTCCTTGGGGTACATCATTTGGGCAGGACAGGGTTAGTTGGGGCTGGGATAGGACCCAAAGCCGCCTCCCTTATCCCCATACTTCCTGCTGGGACAGGGTTCATTCAGGCCAGGACAGGATTCATCTGGCCCCAGACCCCCCAAAGCCTCCCCTCCTATCCCATACCCCATACTTCCTGTTGGGAGAGGGTCCATTTGGGTTGGGATAGGGTCCAAAGCCCCATCCTCTGTCCCCATACCCCATACTTCCTGCTGGGACAGGGTTCCTTTGGGTTGGGATAGGGTCCAAACCCCCCAAAGCCCCATCCCTTATCCCCATACCCCATACTTCCTGCTGGGACAGGGTTCATTTGGGTTGGGATAGGCTCTAAAGCCCCATCCTCTGTCCCCATACCCCATACTTCCTGCTGGGACAGGGTTCATTTGGGTTGGGGTAGGGTCCAAACCCCCCAAAGCCCCATCCCCTATCCCCATACCCCATACTTCCTGCTGGGACAGGGTTCATTTGGGTTGGGATAGGCTCTAAAGCCCCATCCCCTGTCCCCATACCCCATACTTCCTGATGGGACAGGGTTCATCTGGGGCAGGACTGGGTTCATTTGGGTTGGGATAGGGTCCTAACCCCCCAAAGCTCTATCCCCATACCCCATACTTCTTGCTGGGACAGGGTTCATTTGGGGCAGGACAGGGTTCACTTGGGCCAGCACAGGGTTCACTTGGGCCAGCACAGGGTTCACTTGGGCCAGCACAGGGCTCATTTGGGCCAGCACAGGGTTCACTTGGGCCAGCACAGGGTTCACTTGGGCCAGCACAGGGTTCACTTGGGCCAGCACAGGGCTCATTTGGGCCAGCACAGGGTTCACTTGGGCCAGCACAGGGCTCATTTGGGCCAGCACAGGGTTCACTTGGGCCAGCACAGGGTTCACTTGGGCCAGCACAGGGTTCACTTGGGCCAGCACAGGGTTCACTTGGGGCAGCACAGGGTTCATTTGGGCCAGCACAGGGTTCATTTGGGCCAGCACAGGGTTCACTTGGGCCAGCACAGGGTTCATTTGGGCCAGCACAGGGTTCATTTGGGGCAGCACAGGGCTCATTTGGGCCAGCACAGGGTT